AGTTTTTTTTCTCCGCGCAAACGGAGTCGCGGGCGTCACTAGTAGATTTATAAATCTTTTTTGTATTGAATATTAGCATGACATTTTTTAACATTAATCGTGCTTTGTTATGTTTAACATGATGCAATCTTCACATATCTGACCAGAAACTTAAAGATTTAAGGGCGTTAGGTTAGGGTGCTGTTCGACTAGGGCGCTTTACAGATAGAGATGCTACAGTTCTGTAAAATGCATAGTCTCATATAACTTATTACCCCCTCCCTCCCCCTTAAATAGCTAGGTAAAAAAGGGGGGGATTTTATTTTAATGGCGTGTTCAAATTATCTATATCGAAATAATTAACTCGCACCGCTTATATAGAGCAGTTAGATTAAGCTAGATATATCTAGATATATTGGCCTCTACAATCTAGATTTATAGAAAGTAGATGTAACTGGCACTTAATATACTTAACATATGTTTTCTTTTCAGTGAATTAATTTAGATTATGCCTATTATAAATAAAAAGATTAAAAAAAAAACAATTTCATAAATAGTATTATTAGAGTAACTATTGGTACCTATATGAAGTAAATAAGAACATTTTTCTATTATGTGGTAAAACAATATTAGAAAAAACTAGAGTTGGTACTAGAGTTTAATAAAATCTGAATTATATTTAACTTATTTTTTATATTAAAAATAGACATTGTCAAAGTTGTGAGTTTAAAAAATGTACTTATTTAGAAATAACTTCAAGGCGCCTATTATGAAGTCATACGATAATTGTTTCGCGCACGTTTTTCACATGAGAAACGTTTCTGTAAATAAGATTTACTATCGAAAACGTAGACGAATTCAAAACTATGTCACCGGGCTTCGGGATTCGGCACAGAGTAATCAATTTTCAGAGAGGTTTTATGACAAAAAAAAAATAAAATGAAGCTTTAAAAAACAATAACGAAAATCCCATATCTAAAGAATGAAAAGTGGTATATTAAAACACTATAACGTGGTAGAAGCCAGCAACATCATGTCTTGCACTAATGGGTCGGCTCATTCGCTGCAATACCACGACCACACAGAAGACAAGTGCAAGTTCCGCGTGTGGTCTGATGAAAGTGCGTTCTGAGACCTAATTTTAGTCCTCTTTCCCTTTCCACTCTTTTCTTATAAGGAAAGGATGGGAAAGGCAAGTAGATTTGGTGGATAAAAGGCCACATAAGAAGGGAAAATATTCTCTTTCTGTGCGTCTTCTTTTCCATCCATTTCAGATGGGCAACTGCAACAACTCTGCTAATTTAGGTTGCCACTTACTCTTTTACCACATTATAAAATACTTTCTTATGTCTCTATATCTTTTTGTATCCCAGATTTACCAAATGTTCTGTCTGAACTAAACTTGGTAATAACGTTTTCTGTTAGGCATAAGTCCTGTCTGTCTGTACATTACTCTGTGCGTCCTCTACGTCATAGCACGTTAAGTTGTCTGTCACGCGGCCATCGCTTATGAATATGTCAAACATTGTTGTACGGCATCTTGCGTCAGAGGAGCATATTGAGTACTGAAAATTGATCAAGGATATACTAGATTGAATAGCAAATAACAAGTTAACTTGTCAATCTGTTGAACCTAAATTTAATAATGATTGTGTTTAACTTTGATTAAAACATAAAATTTTCTGTGCATCCTTTCCTCCGTGGATTAAAGGTAGGCAACGCATATGCAATTGCGTGTGTCTCTGGGCAGCGGTCATTTCGCTATTTCAGCGATTACAGGTGGCCGCTCGCTCGTTTGCCCCCTTCTGATATAAAAAAAAACATTGAAATATTAACCTTAAATTAAATAGATTTTTCTTGAATTAGAAAATCTAATTAAATAAAAATCATATTTTCTTAAACAATAGTAGATTATTTAAATCTTTACACACATTTATTGTGACCGTATTACTTTAAATATCCTAGTAAGGTAATAGGATACTAGCGGTCTTCCGCGACTCAGTCCACGTCAAATTAAAATAAAAACATAATTACTAGACTATCATGTTGCCGACAGATACGGAACTTTTTACACTTTTTTATTCTTAATTGTTATATTTTTGAATTTAGAACTTTATATGTTTTTTCTTCCTTTTTCTTTATTTTTAAAACCATTAGTTGTAAATATATTCTTGTAACAGTGCGTGCTTTTCTCCTTATTTCTAATAATTCTATTTAATATTTTCATTTTATCTTTTTATTATATAAAATAATATTCCAAAACTCATCTTAATCCTAACGCTCTTCCATTCTTACATATTCGGTCGTCTTTTGTTCTATACGTTTGCCAAATTTCATCGAAATTCATTCAACTGTTCTAAAGATACCTTCAAACAAACATCCATCCATCTAAACATTCGCATTTATAATATTAGTAAGATATCAACTTATAACTTAAGTTATATAAAGTTTAATAAGTTAGCCTATTTTCATTGTATACAACAATAAGTCAAAGTATATCCAAATGAGTCGCGAACAAGGCTTACGAATTACCGACTTGACCCCACAACAAACCTTCGCAAATTTCGACAGGCCATTGGTTATTTCGCACGCGTCGTCCGCCGCAAAATATAGCGAAATCGCATCGCATGTTCCGAATAGTAATTGCACTCAGTTTATAATTCACGCCTTTGTCAAAACAACGAAATAACATAAACAATTGAAGATTAGGGAACGTACCCATACTACGAGACCCGTTGAGTGGTAGGGGGACGGAGTCCTTAAAATACTACGGTCAGGCACAGGAGGAAGGTGGGTGGGTCAGGTTTTTGTGACGTAGTCGTTAGTTGTTATTTTTCATAATACATAATTGACTAGTAATTTAAGTATGCATGCAGTTTTATGCAATAAAGAAGAGTATGAGCCAAATTATAATATATTTTTTTACATTTTTGCTTGTGAAATGATTAAAAATCATAATTATGAATTACTAAGTAAAAACTAAAGGGCGGGTCTTGGCATATACTACGAGTGGTCACCGAGGGGTGGGAGGGGTCGAAAAAACTAAAAAAATTGGTCACGTAGTGTGGGTTTGTTCCCTTAACATATTTTTCGTTTTTAAGTTTAAATTCAAACGCGAAATTCCATATTTGAACAGTGGTAGTGGCCAACAACATCTGTTACACGAATAGGCTTCGTCCTATCGTAATACCAACACCACACAGAAGATAGGTGTCAAGAGAAAGTTACTCCGAGTTCCTGATGAGTGTGTACGGGAGACTTGATCTTAGTCTTCTTTGCCTTCTCATTCTTTTGTTACGGAAAGAATGGGAAGGTAACGTGGATTTGATGGCGGAGAGAAAGCGTATGAAGGAGATATATTTCTGTGATTGATGGATGGATGGATTTTTGTTAGAAGTTATGTCCAGAACGGCTGCATGGATCTCGCTGAAAATTTGTCATAGATGTAGAATGTAGTGTGGAAGAACACGTAGGCTACTAATTAAGATTTTTTTTTAATTTTGCGCGGACTGAGTCACGGGTGACAGCTAGTGTTATATAGTTATGCGACGAAATGTTTCAACAATTATATATTGAAACGTATTTTAAATATAGTTTGTTTGTTGACTTCACACATATATGCAGGTTGCATCACGATGTATTCCTTCACCGTAATAACGTGGGTTAAATGTACATATGTAAATCGAAAATCGATAAACACATTGGTAAATGGCGGTATTCGAATCCAGGACCTGCAGATTGCAAGTCAAGTGCTTGACCCCTGAGCCACCGACGACATTTACAATATAACATAGAAATTATTCATTCGCGCCTTTATGTGACCACACCGCTAACCAATCAAGTGGACCTTGACCACTAATTCCATACAAACAAACAAATTTATCACTTAAAAGAAAAACTACAAGGTTCATTTTGCTATAAACAGTGTAGCCAAGGTTTGAAGGGTTTGATCTTCATAAGATTGTATATTTGTATGAGAAATTAGTACACTATGTATTCTTCCAGACTATGTTCAACAGCTATGACAAATTCAACAAGATCCATGCAGATATAGAGATACCTTCTAACAAACATCCATCCATCCAAACATTCGCATTTATATTAGTAAGATGTTTAGACCATATATCGGTATATCTACGTCTATACCTACCTATATTACGATATTATTGCTATCCCCCTCATTTACTTTGACAAAACAGAGATATCTATACTGTTCTTTATACTCACAGACAAGATAATGACTCAATAGTGCTAATATTAACTTAAATAACTCTGTTAATTGATGTTATTACGTCCTTATTACCGCTTTCTTACTCCGGACCAGTTAATACTGGTTTTTAGTTGAAATAAACCTGAAAACTTATATGGTACGTAAGAAAGAGACAGACATATTAAAAGAATAGCAGTTGCCCGCGACTTCGTCTGCGCGAAATAAAAAAATCCAGTTGTAAATATTTCCTATGAAAGAATTTTTTACATCGATTTAGTGGAGTCTTAATGCAAGATTGTTACCTAAGCAGAACTTTAGTGTATATTTAGTGTAAGCTTTCATTAAGAATCTGTTTCTTTAACCAATACTTGTATTGTCTTGACTGGAGAGCGCATTTTTTCGTACTTAATGACGTAAAAAGATTTTTTTAGCGTTTACTAATTTTATTTTTTTACTTTGTCCTTTTGCAAGATAATTGTTTGTAGGGGAATCCCAAACCACATCGTAAGCAGTTCTTCGAATTAATACGATATATTAATACTATATTAGTTTACCTATCGGAAATACAACTTTGAAATACCAATTTTTCACAAATGTACATACAATATGAATGTATGGATGGATGTTAGTAGATATCTCCATAACGGCTTAGATCTCCCTGAAATTATACATACATATAGAACATAGTCCGTAAGAAAACATAAACTACTAATTACATTTAAAAATCCGGCGCGGACGGAGTCGCGGGCAACAGCTAGTAAAATAAAAATTGTATTTTAGCTAATACTATTAATGTTTTTTTTTGTCACAGCCCGCCGACATTCAAGACTCTAACACCGACGTCGCGTACACAACTCAAGCAACAGTTGATGAGAGAACATGCGCAGGAGCAACTGCGCAGAGAATCACTACAGGTATATCTATCTCACTCTCTCACTCTATTACTATCTCACTCCATCACTGTCTCTTTCAAACTACGCTCTAGTCGTGATGTTACGATCAAGACGAGTACTAGCCCGCACTGGGCCTGTATTTGACTATAGCCTAGTTACTAACTTAGGGTAGGCTCTTAACTCCTTAGTGAGGACGTGTAGCTGATGATGTGAAGCTACGGAAATTATAGGGCATCATACTTCTATAGAAACACACACAGAGTCCGCCATATCTGTCTCTTTTATTTTCTGTTACTATGTCGATTTATCAGACTAAAAGACTCATGGACTGAAGACAATACATGTATCTCTTTACGTGGTTTAATGAATATTTCCGAATGTACGTCTACTTCTATGTATTTTACGTGCGTAACGTAAATTTGTCTTTTTTAAGATTATTTTATAATGCAACCCATAGCTCTAACTCTATAATTCATTTAATATTTATTATTAGTATTCTTTTGGAATGAACAAAAAAACTTAATTAGTACTCTATATGTTCTTCCAGACTATGTTCTAGATCTATGTCAAATTTCAGCAAGATCTATTCAGCCGTTCTACAGATATATTTTAACATCCATCCAAACATTCGTAATTAGTAAGATGTGTACATGTTTCCAGACACAACAGGGTCAGTCAAAAGAAAATGGCGACGACAAGAAGAAGTCAAGTCCTACAGATGTGCCGCGTATCACGCCGCACGTTGAGTTACCACCACAAGTATTGCAGGTGAGAGCTTATACATGCGTCCCTTTCACTCTTTATAAAAAAACGGAGATAACAATATATTTCTAACAATGATTGAGGATTAATATTTCCCTAGTAGTTTTCAACAGTGGTAGAGCCCGCTTTAACATCCTTACACGTATAGGCCTCGCCCTCTGCAATATCACAACCATACAGAAGATAGGGGTCAAGTGGAAGCAATTCCGCGTACAGTTTGATGAGAGTGCGTCCCGGAGGCCAAATCTTAGTTCTCTTTCCCTTCCCACCCTCTTTCTTATAAGAAAACTAGCTGTCGCCCGCGACTCCGTCCGTGCGGGATAAAAAAATTGATAGTAGCCGATTCTCAGACCTACTCAATATGCTCACAAAATTTCATGAGAATCGGTCAAGCCGTTTCGGAGGAGTATGGGAACGAAAATTGTGACACGAGAATTTTATATATAAGACGAATTTTATATATAAGATGATGGAAAGTGGAAGAGGATTTTCCGGATGAGAGGATGCATGGGAAGGGAAATATTCTCTTTCTGGACAGGACTGATCAGGGGAGAGGAATAGTACAAAACCTCTGTCCATTAAATATAATACTTGAAACAATTGCAGTTATGTTTGTTTTTATTTCAACATTAATGTATTGTAAAGAATATTGAAGTCTCCATGTAACTCAAGTGTTAAACTCTCAGTTCATTATCTATCATCACGTATTAGTTATAGTAATTACCGTTTAACTGCAGTTAAGTCGTGTCTGTCTGTACATCCGTACATTGTTATACTTGTGTTTAACAATTAGCGAGTTATATAGTATTTAGTTTACGTTTGAGCAAATGTTTTTAAATAATATAATCGTTTGAAAAGATAATACTTTTAAAACTACTTTTGGTTGAAAATTATGCATAAACCTATGTCTACAAAACCGCAGTCCTGTATAGAGAAGAGATAATTATTTTTTTACTTATATTTCTTTTGTTGGTAGGAATTTTTAGTAATAGCGCCATCTAGCGATTTATTAAAGTCCACGAGTAAAGGTGTGTGTGTACTTGAATATTGAAACTTTAATTTTTAAATACTAGTTATTGCCCGCGAATTCGTCTACTCGAAATAAAAAAAATAGGATAAATAGTAGTCTTATGGTTTATAACTGTGCAAAATTTCAATAATTTATGTCGAACCCTTGCTGCGTTATCAAGTAAATATATGTATATCAAACATATTCCTCGGGAACCGCATAAATTTCCTGGATCACAGCCTATGTGTTCTTCCAGACTATGTTCTACATCTATACCAAATTTCATCTAAATCCGTTTTCCCTTTCTGGACATACCTACCAAACATCCATACAAACATAGAAATAAGATGTATATTTCTGTGTGCAGGTGCGAACGGTTCTGGAGAACCCCACCAGGTATCACGTGATACAGAAACAGAAGAGCCAGGTGCGACAGTACCTGAGCGAGTCCTTCCAGCCACAGGCACAGGTAAAATTGTATACCTTGATTTCAGGGCCATCTATTTATAAATATTTTAATTAGCAACAGCGCCATCTAGTAATAATTTTTTGAATTAGTAACAACGCCATCTATTTTAATAGTTTGTAACTTTTTATTGTGTTTTTATTTTTAACGTTAAATAACGAAGTTTTTTTCTTATTTATCTCTAGTTACCTAGGAAGTTAATTTGTTTAATAATGTGTTATATGTGCCAGGTGACGACTGGCGGGCGCGGCGCGGTGCAGTCAGCGCCGGAGCTGTGCGCGTCCCCCGAGCGCGCCTCCAGCTTGCTGAGCCCCAACCTCTGCTCCTCCACTGTTAACACTTCTGAAGTATGCATCACTTTACTTATGTATCATCCTAGATTCCTCTTTCACATAGATTTAAGTTAACTTTAACATTAAAAGTTTTGATAAATCTTTCAATCCTAATTAACTCAAGAGTTGATTATGGAATATTTTATACCGTAAATAATAAATTACTCTTTTAATAAGAACAATCTTTGACTCTTGAATATAAAAAAAACTATAAGTAGCATATGTATTCTTCCAGACTATGTTCTAAATCTATGACAAATTTCATCGAGATCAATGCAGCAGTTCTGGAGATACCTTCAAACATCCATCCATCTAAACATTCGCATTTATAATATTAGTAAGTCTACATATATTTGAATGCTTAACTCTCTGATTAAATTTGCTTTTGGTACATACATAAACTTACATAGGTACCATCTATGACAGTGTTGAGAAAATGATTTCATGAGAGACAAATGTTTCCAGACGGATGAGTTCCTGGAGGACATCCTGTCACTGGACAGCGGTGCTGCGCGCTCCTCCTCCGGGCCGCCCTCCGCCGCCAGCTCCGTGGCGGGGGACTGCGCTCTGCTCACTGATGCCGACATGCATGCACTCGCCAAGGACAGGCAGAAAAAGGACAACCACAATATGAGTAAGTTAACACATCTTTTATATACATTTTGTGGTGGAATGGGGATCTTCAAAAGATTTTCTTCTGGGGGAAAGATATGTGAGTAAAGTATACATACCGGAACTCTGCACTGTTAAAGACTCGACCCAGGGTAGAATGTCCCGCCGCGGACGAGAGCGAAAGCGTGCCCGTGGTCCCGTCCCGATGCGTTGGAGGACCAGAGGGGTTTAGTGGGTATGCCTCCCCTATGGAGGAGAATCCCACATAACTACCGCGTCCCCCCCCCCGGGGCGCGGAGTATGCATAATGCATTCCCCTCTGAAAAAAAGGGTAGAATGTCCCTTCTCCTGCCATCATATAACTAAGGCAATTTAGGTCCACAACTTGTTCCCGAGATAATCCAATAGATGGCGTTGTTTTTAATTTTAAGTATATGTCTTAAAATTCTATTGATTTTGTCTGTGTCAAATTTTTTAAATAGACATGAATAAATAAAAAAAAATCCATACAAACTAATTGTAAATAAAACTAGTAGATATTTCTCTTTAATGTAAATATTTGTGTAACGTCATTGAAATTAATTTAAGATATTTTATTTTAAAATAGCATGAGGGTCTAGATAAAGTACATTCGCTGCAAAGCGGTATGTGAATGAATGTGTGTGTGTGTATGAGTGTAACATTGTAATATATAATAATATAAATTCTACCTAATACCTAATAACAAAAATTAGTAACAAAGTAAATGTTTTTAAAATTAACTCTTTCAACAATTTCCAGTTGAAAGACGTCGTCGTTTCAACATAAACGATCGTATAAAAGAACTGGGTACATTGCTGCCGAAGACCAACGATCCCTTCTACGAGGTGATCCGCGACGTGAGACCTAACAAGGGCACGATACTGAAGAGCAGCGTGGACTACATCAAGTGCTTGCGGGACGAGGTCTCCCGCCTCAAGCAGGGCGAGCAGCGCCGCAAGCAGATCGAGCTGCACAACAGGAAGCTCATGCTTAGAATACAGGTACAGGATCCTTGAAGGTATCTCCATACCTGCATGGGTCTTTGGACATAGACTGGAAGAACTGGAAGGTGCGCGGTGCGATTCTCGCGCAACTTCTTGCCTCGCACAGCCGCGTTGTGTCTGTCCTCGGCGTTATTTCCAAACCAATACGACTTAGGGTCCTTCAAGAAGAGAGCCTATCACCACCTCAAAGGCCGGCAACGCATCTGCGGTTCCTCTGGTATTGCTGATGTCCATGGGCGTCGTTGAACACCTCGGTGTTCCCGCTGCTCGTTTGCCTCCTTCTGTTATAAAAAAACACATGTAGGATACATTCATTCCACGGGTAACGGCTAGTAAAATAACTTAACTAGCCTATGTGTTCTTCCGGACTATGTTCTATTCCAGTGGTTCCCAAACTTATTTTGTCTACTGCCCACTTTGAGAATAAATATTATTTTAGCGCCTCCATATTTTCACATATTTAAAAACCACTATAACTTCAAATTAAATTAATTAATTATTGTGACCTATATATGTATATTCTGACTGTCTTATATTTAATAATAGAGTTTAGTGGAAATAGGGCCTTAATCAATTTCTGTGCTTTTAACTTCCAGGAGTTAGAGAGGCTAGCGCGTGTCCACGGTCTGCCGCTGGGGGGCGACACCTGGCACGGGGAGGAGGGGGAGGGGGCCGAGCCGGACCCCACCACCACCACCACCACCCCCGCGACCCCCCACAGCACTCCTAAAACACCTTCCACACCGGTACATAGTTTCTTTACAATTATTTTTTTTATTATAACTGTCTATTTTGAAGACAACATAGATTATTAGCTACCACCTGCGACCCCACGCACAGAATTAAAAAAAAAATCAGTATCCTATGTGTTCTTACAGACTATGTCCTTCATATATACCAAATTTTATCAAGATCCATGCAGCTATGGACTTTCAAACAAAGGTCCATCCATCTATTTAAACATTCGCATTTATAATATTAGTAAAATTAGCATGGTTGTGTTCAGGAGGTGCTGCCGAAGCGTGAGCCAGCAGCCATGGAGGTGGGCGAGGTGGGTGAAGCTCCGGACCTGCTGCGTGACATGCCACCTGCTGACTGTCTGCCACCACTAGACGCACTAGGTACATTACGCATTTTTAATAAGTAAACGAACCCCCCCCCCCCCAGGAGCGTCGGTGGTTCAGGGGTTAAGCACTTCGCCAACATGGCGAAACGACTGCTATACCCATCCAACCACATCCACAATGGCAGATGCATTGCCTATCTTAAATCGGAGAAGGGGACACACAGAAAGAGAATATCTCCTATTCCTCCACCCCCATTATAAGAAAAGGGCGGGAAGAAAATAAGAATTAAAAATAAGGTCTAAATTTATTAATCTTTCTTTTTTTGTATTCCAGATGGCCTTAAACTAGGATCATGTTCACCTTTAGGACGGGAAGGTCTATCAGAAGGTCTATCAGAGGGCCTCTCTGAAGGCCTATCGGAAGGACTCTCTGAGGGGCTTCCCGAGGGCTTGTCGGAGGGCCTGGGGTTAGGATGTTTAACTCCAGGCCTCTGTCTCGACCCCCCACCGGACATGTTCGATCACAAAGACGTGAAGGTAACAGCATTTGTACGTGACATTTTTTTTTATTTATTTATGTTGTATCTTAACTCTTTTGTTTGTGATCGTACTAATATTTATCTTACAAAATAAAGTAAGGGAAGAAGACAAGTGATACAGGTCCGTGTATGTCTTCTTTAAGGAGGCTTTAAACACTTTATTTGTCGTTTATTCAAAGGAAAGAAAATTATACATATATAGAGTCCTAATTGTATGTTATTTGCTTTTTTTAAATTTAAATTTCCGCATTTTATTTATGAAAAAATAAATCATAATAAAAATGTACGTATAAAAGTATTTAATGTTATTGACACCCCCTGTTAGGGGGTCCCTACACCCTTCTATATTTTTATAATAACTTACAAAGACTTTACTTCTCTATGTTATATCAACTATGTATAATATATTAATAAATATTAGTGTCGCACGCGACTCTCCCCGTGAAATTAAAAAATAAATAATTAGTAGTCTATGTGTTCTTCCAGATTATGCCAAATTTCAGAGAGATCCATGCAGCTATGGTGATACATACAAACATCCGTCCATCTATACATCTTTATATATATAATTCTTCTGTGAGTGTGTATGTCACTGAACTTCTCTCAAACGACTGGACCGATTTTGATGAAATTTTTTGTGTGTGTTCAAGGGGATCTGGGAATGGTTTAGATTCAC